GAAAGCCATAATGAAGTTCGTTTAACTAGAAAATCGACGTTAGTTACATTGAAAGCGATGAGCAAAGCAACGACGAGAAGTTCCACAGCCAGCCTTTCCTTCTAAGCGTCCTTCTTTTTTATTTTCGTTTCTTGCTGATAGTCTAGCTAGGCGTTATAGAAATGAAGCGTCGAACACGTATGTATGAGAGAAACAAAACACGAGTTCATTTTAGAGCTTCGAAATTGTAGAGCCCTGCTTGCGACAAAGCCAAGCGTTCTGGACGCTTTGTCGACGACATACGATATATGGTGTGAGTATGTCAGCTTTGAGTCTAGAAAAACGCCTAAGTCTTTCACGCAGTGCACCCGTTCGATAGTCGTGCCTAGTAGTTTGTAGTTGAAAATAATCGGTTGTTTCTTGCGTGAGAAAGAAATAACTGGACACTTAGCTGGGTTGACCACCAGTCGGTTTAGACTACACCAGTCAGCAAAGATGTCAATCTGATTTTGGAGAGAACGGCAGTCGGCGAGTGAGCGGATGCGCAGAAAAACTTTCAGATCGTCTGCAAACGATAATCGTGGCTCTGTGATAACATGGTGAACGTCGTTGAAGTAGAGGAGAAATACCAATGGTCCCAGATGGCTACCCTGAGGTATACCGGACTTTGCGCAGAAGCTTGCTGAGCGGCAAGTACCCAAAGTTACTGTCAATTGGCGCTCCGTGAGGTATGAACGAAACCATCTCAAAAGATTTCCACCGATCCCTAGCCTATCAAGCTTAGCGATCGCAATTTCGTGGTTCAGCTTATCGAAGGCTGCCGTAAGATCTGTGTAGATAACGTCCGTTTGGATCCGAGCAATCAAACTGTCTGTGATGAAAGACGTTACCCGCATAAACGCGAACCATAAATTGACCTTACCTAAAATGGTTAAAAATTGTTTATAATCCCTGCTAAACTTTAACTGAAATGGTTATGGAACTTTACATGAACGTTTAATGATAAAGTTTCAACCTTATGTATTATGGTTTTTTGGAACTGGACCTTATAAATAATGGGTTGTTAAGAACCATTACCGTTCCAAATTCTTGTTTTCTCCATACATTTTCGGAAAGAGAACTATATTAGAACCTTTTAACTTATGGTTTGAGAACTTTAATGGTAATGGTTATGGTAGTCAGTAAGGTCCACGAATGGTTTTGTAACATCGATCAACTTTATGTGGAATATATCACGAATTGGTTGCATGTAATTTACTGATTACCAATTCACGATATATTCCACGTAAAGTTGAGCGATAATACAAAACCATTAATGGACCTTACTGACTACCATAACCATTACCATTAATGTTCTCAAATCATAAGTAAAAACGTTCTTATATAGTTCTCTTTCTGAAAATGTATGGAGAAAACAAGAATTTGGAATGGTAATGGTTCTTAACAACCCATTATTTGTAAGGTCCAGTTCCAAAAAACCATAATACATAAGAGTTGGTTGGAAATGCTAACATGAAGCTTTAGTGTGATGATTTATTAGCTAGAGAATGATCTTTAGAAGAATGTAGGTGGATAGTTCCGTTAGAGTACGGCAGTATGAAAATTGAATAGAAGTTGAAAATGAGCGAAGGGCCATTAAAGCGACAGTTTTCAAGATGACGCACATTTTTGCCTGTGGACTTGGAGACATACTTCAAGTCCCCGCGTACATCGTACGGGCTAGGCAAAAATGTGCGTCATCTTGAAAACTGTCGCTTTAATGGCCCTTCGCTCATTTTCAACTTCTATTCAATTTTCATACTGCCGTACTCTAACGGAACTATCCACCTACATTCTTCTAAAGATCATTCTCTAGCTAATAAATCATCACACTAAAGCTTCATGTTAGCATTTCCAACCAACTCTGAAAATCGTTAACTTCGCGTATGAAGTAACATAAAAAACACTTTGAATGCATAATACATAAGGTTGAAACTTTATCATTAAACGTTCATGTAAAGTTCCATAACCATTTCAGTTAAAGTTTAGCAGGGATTATAAACAATTTTTAACCATTTTAGGTAAGGTCAATTTATGGTTCGCGTTTATGCGGGTAGGCACAGGAGGTTCGTAGTTGTGGAACGCCCAGTTATGAATCCGTGTTGATCTGTACTTAGATATTGCTTGCAATGCGCATTTAGTGTTAACTTTCCGTTGGGTCTTTTTTCTTACCGTGTGGGAGTTTTTTTTTTTCACCGTTGTAAACACTATGGCTACGAGACTATGTTATACATAAAAAATACTGCAATATTCGCATGAAAACCATCAAAAATACGGAAATCAAAAATTAGGCCAAAATTCAAACCTAGATGCAGTTTCGCCCTCGCTGATGGCGAACAAACCAAGGGGTGAAATTAACTTCACTATACTAAACTACAAAAATTAGTTTCGCCTTTTTGTGGATGTTAATTTAGGGTGACAAAACATATTTTTTTTTTGTGAAATTTTATGAAATTCTTCATAGTATTGGATCACATTTCTATAAAAAAAAAACTCAGTTTGTTTACATTTGTCAGTTTCGTTCTTTTGAAATGTTGGTACTGAATTTATCATATATATACTAATAGAATTCCACACATTTTTATTGACGAATTTCCATGTCAAATTCCACATGATTTTCATGTGACCACACATAAACAGAATCCACCCAGAAGCACACATGAAATTTATGAGTCAAATGAATAGTATGTGTGGTTACACATGGCTTTTATGTGAACACATATTAAGTATGTGTCCGACACATATAATATATTATATCATTTGTTGCTCACATTGCAAAAAATCATGTGTGGGACACATAAAAACAATCTTTGAAATTTTATCAGTGTATAAACTCTGAAATTTTAACCGGCTGCCATAAATTTATCACCATCCACTAGTACTATTTCCCGCCACTAGTGACGCATAAATTTCACTTGGATTCTAATATCAGGTTCGTCACCAAAGTTTTCGAGCCGCTCCGTCTGTCACTTCGTTTGTGGTTACTAATCTCTATATTCCAGGCCAGTGACAAGGCCTATACCAACAGCAGCGTTTGACAATATGCAGCATGTCCCGGGCTCAAATCCATTATTTTGCTGTGCTGGGCCCGCTGTCATCGTATAACATGTTGCCTACGCGACTGCCACTGGGCTGCTATATTCTGAGATAGTCCGGTTTGGCTCAATCTGGGTAAACCAAACCTACATTTGGTTATGGGTTCTTAGCGTGCACTCAAAAAATATTGAAACCTAAATAGTATAAAAGTTACGCTAAATCGCAACTCTCCGTACCGACGCAAAGGTCGGTATAAAGGTATAAAGGGAGAGAATGCAAACTTAGTATAAAAATTGTTTCTGCGTGCCATAGTATAAAATCGAAATATACTTTCAATGCATAGATACGGTTTATTTGAGATAACGTATTTTTCGCTTCTTTATTTTATTTATGGAAAATATTATTGTTTCCAAATAAAAATAAAAATTGTCTCAGGAACCCGCATATACGCGAACCATCACATGACCTTACCGATAATGGTTATAAATTGTTATCCCTGCTAAACTTCAACTGAAATGGTTATGGAACTTTACATGAACGTTTGTGTGATAAAGTTTTAACCTTATGTATTATGGTTTTTTGGAAGTGGACCTTACAAATAATGGGTTGTTAAGAACCATTACCATTCCAAATTCTTGTTTTCTCCATACATTTTCGGAAAGAGAACTATATTAGAACGTTTTTACTTATGGTTTGAGAACATTAATGGTTATGGTTATGGTAGTCAGTAAGGTCCATTAATGGTTTTGTATTATCGCTCAACTTTACGTGAAATATATCGTGAATTGGTAATCAGTAATTTACAGGCAACCAATTTGCGATATATTCCACATAAAGTTGATCGATGTTACAAAACCATTCATGGACCTTACTGGTTACCATAACCATTACCATTAATGTTCTCAAACCATAAGTTAAAAGGTTTTAGTATAGTTTTCTTTCCGAAAATGTATGGAGAAAACAAGAATTTGGAATGGTAATGGTTCTTAACAACCCATTATTTGTAAGATCCACTTCCAAAAAACTATAATACTTAAGGTTAAAACTTTATCATTAAACGTTCATGTAAAGTTCCATAACCATTTCAGTTGAAGTTTAGCAGGGATTATAAACAATTTTAACCATTTTAGGTAAGGTCAATTTATGGTTTGCGCTTATGCGGGAAGCCTTTTTAAATAGTTTATTTTTTATGAATATTATTAAAAAAAAATACTTATACAATTTTGATGCTGCCCAGCAGATCACAGGCGCAGTAGAAATCCGCCGGGACAAAGCTCTTCATCAGCACGAAGCTCCGAAGGGAATCCAGATGTTCTTTTTCTGTCATTTTAGTAAACACTGAGCGAATTCCACTCCGTTATTCGGACTTAGTATAATTTTGACGAAAATTTTAATCGATCCAATGTATACATTTTGAAAAACCATAAAATGCATAAAATTTAATCTATATTTGTTTTGTAATATTTTTGAGTGTATAATCTGAGGTTAATACAAAATGTTGGAACCCTTAGCCCAAATGGCAGCACTTCTCTCGAGAGCGACGTTTAAACTGATCTAGACAAGAGTGTCAAAAATGCGACCGCCATCAAAAAAACACACACATATTCATATTCAATGTAGAAAACGCATTTCGCTCTCCCCGATTTTCGCTCTTCTCGTTTTCGCTCTCGCCCATCAGTATCGTGAAAGAAAATGGGAAAAAATGCAAATGGCGGTCGTTGTTATTGTTCGCTGGTAACAAACGAGCTCGATTTTCGGTAAATGGTACACTTTTCGCAGCAGTAAACGGCCGGAAAATAGCGTGCGATGTTAGTTTCGAGTTTGGCGAGTGTTTTCGTGTTGTTGGTTGTTGAAAATTGAGTGGTTAAAGTGGATTTTTGCGTACGGGAAAAGTGTGTCACCCTCGACGGCTCCTCGGCGGAGCGAAAAGGCTCAAATGGGTAAGAAGCTGTGCTTGGATTTTCGAGTGATTTTTCCTCAGTGCGGAAAAATGCTACACAACGCAATCTGACCCGTTCGGGTCGATGCTACTAATGCTGGAAACATTGGTCTGATGGTCTTTTTTGAGTTTGGAATAAGCAGAAAAGTGATTTTCGTCGTCGAAAAGTTCGAGTGCTATTTTCCAAAGTGTGAAAAGTGTCCATGAAAAGTTCGTGTTCGAAAGTGTGTTCGTGTGAAATAGGGAGGAAAAAGAAGATGCTTGTGAGATGGTAAAGAAAAGCAAAGTTCGATTCGGAAAAAAATAATCCTGATCGACGATGTCTCGCAACAATATTGATGGATACGGGTCTGTCGGAAAGTTTGGAAATCTGCCGACTTGTGAAATTTGTTGTAGGTGAAACATTGGTGACAGCATAGAGAAGCAAGAAATAGGCCCTCCCCATAAAAAAAAATATTCTCATCATCATAATCATTGCCGTCGTCAAAATCAAAATGGCTGCTATTGCCTTCACTGGCAATCGCCGTCGTCGTCGCCGATTTGCTGTTCCTGCTACTGCTGCTGCTGGTTGCGAGATTCTCACTCATCGCGGCTCTCGCGGTTCACGGATGTTGTTTAATTGTGTGCGTGTGTGCGAGAAGTAGTGCTACCGGTGGATGTGTAGGTGCTGATTGATGCTGATGATACCACCGAAGCACACGCACACAGTGTCACCTTGCGTCACGACGAAAACAGTGTACTCGCTCTTTTTGGACCGTTCTTTCGAAAAGGGCTAAGCAGACACGTATGAATGTAAACAAAATGCATTTTTTTGTGTGTGCTTTCGCCGGAAGCAAGTGCGTGGATCGTGCAGATAAGTAGTAGCTACATTGCACACGACAGGAGGTTCCTAGTACACGATTATCTTTTTATATTGTTCGTAAGCTCAACAGAAACCTGTCAGCTACAGAACTACCCGAAAAAAATAAACGTAATAAAACAACGAAATTACAATGATTTTACTGATGAATTTCGAGTACATTAAAACTTATTGTTAAATTGTTGTACCGGAGAAAACATTATTTCGACTTTTAACGATAATGCTCAAACAATGAAATTTAATGTTATAAGGTCAAATTTGTTCGAGAATTTTTTTTTTATTGTTAAGATGCCCCCCTTTTTTCTGTAAATTTCTCAAATACCATGATTTTCGTTGTTTTTGATCACGGATTTCTTTCTACACATTGTCATGATTATCTGGGATATTATTGACCAGAAGAAATGCTAATTTTTTTCAGTATATATATAAATTATTCAATTTAAAATGAATTATTTACCCTTTTAGCCACAATGGTTACGATAATGGTAGTCAAAGGTTAATTAATTTATTGGAGCAGATAAAATGACGTTTACTACCACTCGAACTTTGAAATGAAACATTATTTTGAGATTTTTTCTTCTAGAACCTCGAGAAAAGTAGCCAACATTTGTGCGTTTCATAAAAAATAGAAATTAGTTGGTCCAGTTTTGTGAAATCGCTGGTAGAAAGTCACGCCAAAACTGCTTGACAAAGTGGTCAATTGTGTAAAAGTTTATTCAGATTAGATTAGATTAGATTCAGGGTGACCAGGGAATCGGGAAAAAGCCGGGAATTCGAAGTCACCGAGTAAAAGCCAGGAATTTCGATGACAAATCGGGGGAAAAAATACTTCATCCAAATAATAATGTAAGATTTTAGACCTTGACAAGTTGTCAATGACAACATTTTAAAAACCCTTGGACTGGACCAGATTTTAGGATAAACTAACAAGAACTATTATGAGATTTTTTTTCCAAAGCAGTTTTGATGAGATTTTAGATTGATTTCTAGGGATCAAACCAAGGTATTTCAAAGAGAATTCCAAGGGAGTTTTGGGAAGAACTGTGAGTGAGTTTTGACTAGAACTACAAGACAATTGTGAGTGTTCTGAGTAAAATTCCATGGCAATTGTTAAGATCCAGGATATGTGAAAAATATCGATGTTTGAGGGTACAATTCAAAAGGAATTCTAATTAGAAGAATTTGCCTACTTCGTAGCGTTGTTAAATTGACGAGTGCACAGCTATGCTCATAAGGCGGCAGTAGGAGTCGATTTTGCCAAGGATGAAACTCTGCAAACCTGATGAAACTTTTTTGCACTCGTTCTATTCGATCAATCTGAACGGAATGATACGGACGGGTCTCAAACGGTAGCTCAGGGTGGCCAGTGAACCGGAAAATAAACGGGTACTTTTCCAAATGGTTTAATATTGACCTACTTAAAATCTATTTAAAACATGTTTTCCCATAATTACCTTGGAATTCCGCTCAGAATTATCATGGGATTCTTCTTAAGGTATCAAGTAAAAATAACCTTGGAACTTTTCTCGTACCTTGGAATTCTCTTCAAAATTCTATTGAAACTACCTTTGATTATTTCATTGGAATATTCTCCGCATTCAATTATTCAATTCTTCTCAGAATCATCTAGGAATCTTTTTTGAAGTTCTTTTTACAACTTTCGTAGAATTATTATAAGAATTTTCAATAAATTAAATTCAGAATTTCATTTCTTCTCCTCAGAAATTTCTTGGAATTCATCTCATCTCATCTAAGGACATTATCTAAGAATTATCTTGGAATACTGGTCAAAACTCCATTTGGATGTTTACCAGAATTGTGTTGGATTCACATTTTAATTCTTTTGAATTATTCTCCGAAAAGTTTTATAGGTGTTCTCCTTAACTCTATAGAAATTCCCTAATAAAAATATCATCCCCGAACGATAACTCAAATGATAGATTTTTTCCAAAAATGGTTTGGATGATAACCTGAACACGTCGTTAAACATTCAAATTGTATTAGGGTTGTGTTTCCAAGTTGTAGAGCCTTGTAAATTTTCCAGGAGCAAAGTAGCTGTTTTTTTAAATCTGAGATATTGTAAATTTTCCAAAATTTCACATTTCGAGTATTTTTCTCAATCCCGTAGTTATTTTTTTTTCTTCTTCTTTATCTAGGATCCTAAATTTCCTTTTCTAGGACATATATTTCGAAACACTGGAAACAAAAAAAAATCAAATAAAAATGCAATGAATTTAGCTGTAACCATGATTTTTACTATGAAAATATTGGAAATGTTTGCCCTACAGCACAAAATCACATCGAAATTCATGGTTTATATCTAAAAAATCATTGTATTTGATAAATTTATATTAAACAAGTGGAGTTGGAAAGTATCTTGAAGCACATAACATATGTGGAACTCGATCATCAAAAATCGATTGATTTCAAGTGGTATAGAAGGACATCGATCTGTCAAATTGATTATACCAACTGTAAAATGAGGAAGGGGATCAAGGGGCTTGTCAATTCTTTTGAATGATTCTACCGTGGTTTATAATTCTATGTGTTCCTAGCACTCCTGAACTCATGTCTTACTATTTCCTTAACCATTTATGTGCTTTATTTATAATAATATAGCTAACTTTTACAAATTCATCACCTTGATTCACACAGCAAAATGGTAAACTTAGAATAAACATGTATGTAACATTTCCTTCTTTGGACACTTTCTATTTTTTGGAACATCAAACTTTGATTTCATTAGGTTTCGTAGGAGGAAAAACACGACCGCGTAAATTTGGATTTGAGTGCTTACATTTTGAAGTCCAGAAAGAAGCAGCAAAATTTGGAACAAGAATCAGAAGTACCATTTGAAAAATATTCAGTGCAAGAATTTTGTGAGCAGAACGATAAATGAAATCGACTACTTATCGATACCTGCAATATCCTAGATTTTTCTATGTTTCTCAATTGCCGTCAATTGAAAATTTCTTCAAAAATCCCAACTGAAAGAACTACTAAAATTACTTTTTAACAAAAAAACATGGTAAGGATGATCCTTGTTGATTGAATAGGCAAAAGAGGAGCTGCACACAATAATAACAAACTTTTTTTCGACCACTATGGCTAAGGTCCCAGGGTGAGACTTCTAGCTAGCTGTATCAAAGTTAAGCACTATTTACTAACGAAAACAATCGTTAATATGCATCAACTGGATATTTCGTGATATAATCATAAGTTGACTCACTAAAAGCACAGTTAACAATATTTCAACATAGCACAGAGAAAATGATAGTTTATACCTATTCTCAAATCTTCCAATTGTTTGCATAAAATTAAATTCAATTAACATAATTTCCTTCATTAATCCAATGCAAACCAATAAGACGATGAAATAATGCATCTGTAAATAGGCAATAATACTGAATAACAACGCTCTTGATTGGTTTTTGACCGACTTGAAAATACTAGCTAAAATATCCTAGCCCCCTGTCGAGCTAGTCGAAAAAAGAATACCCACACGTCAAACTCCGTCAAGCATTTAAACAGTGGACGAACACCATCTAATTACGCATTACCGTGACTATTGACAATTCTCCTCTTCGGCCACTCTGTAACTCTTCACTCCTATGATAAAATCCCATAAGCAAACATCAATTTGTGTGTGAAACTTAGTGAACATTTCCTTACCCTTTCACTCCTATGAAAATCTCATAAAATACTGTCAATCTTTGCGTGAATAAACGACAGCTTGCTGGAGGAATGAAGAGATAAGACAAAGTCCGCTAGATTTCATGCACAGGTTGTCAGATGCTTATGGGATTTGACCAGGAGTAAAGAGTTGCAGAGTCGCCGTCAACGTCAATGCTTACTTTCGTAAGGGCCAATGCTGCAAAAGTAAACAATTACTTTTTGTGTGAATTTCTCGAAAATGAAAACTTCTTCAAGAAAACCAACACCACGATTGTGTAGAGAAAGAGTCCTCCGATAGAATTAGTGGCTTATATGGATTGACTTTGACCTACGAGACATTTACGCAAGAAGCCATTATTTATGTTTTCGACATTGGTCTTTATGAATGCTCAGTGTCGATATCACGAAAATTTTATTTTGACAGATCGATGTCTAACTATGCCAGTTATACCACTGAGGCAAAACAATAAAGGGGTCAGATTTGAGTCAGCTTTTTGCATGAAGTTCCACATATGTTATGTGCTTGAAGGTAGAAAAATTCATTACTTATCGAAAAAAAACCACTATTGGTCTCTAAACAACTCTTTTCATTGCATTTCTAAACCAATTTCTTAATTCAATATCTCAGTCTTTACTATTCAGTTTATTGACCCCAATAGCTTTCGACCTAGTGACCATAACAATATTCCAAGACTCAGTTGCTCTGTAAGTTCAGGGGCTTTGCATAAATAAGAAGT